TGGCCACACCGGCACAAGGCCAAGCCAACTAATGGAAGGAAATGCAGAGCCCAAGCGAACCCCACAAATGCGTGGAAGGAAACTTGGTCAAGCCTGAGCTGGCTCTACAGCCAAGGGACTTGCCTGGCAGCTAGCCAGAACCATCTCACAGGAAAGCCCTGCCTGCCCACTGGTGGAATGCCAGATACTGGAAACCCGAGGAAGCTCCCTTCTACTGGACATGCATGGGCTTGCCACAAACCACAGGACCAGATGGCGACCGGTTGGCTATTTCACACCACACCCAATATCACATCCAGGTACACTTTTAAAGTCAAACATGCCAGTCCAACTTTGAAATTCTGAAAAGAAAATGCAGGAAACCTTTCTAAGTGTGGTGTAGAAACAACTTTTAAATGAAACACAATTCAGTGAGCAGGCATAAACACAGCATAAGACCAGCCACTGCTGAGCCCACGGGAAAGGTTAAGTACCGTTAAGTGCTCATTGGGCTAGCCTTGCCACCTTTCCGCAGAATGAAAACCTTTTAAAGAAAAAGTTAGCAAGAAAAAAATAATGGGAAAAAGATTACTCCCAACACACACACACAAAGCCCACAGGAACCTGAGTGCTAGGCAGCTAGTGCTGCCTCGGCTGCTCCTCTCTAGCACCCTGTTGGTCATCTGTAGGCCAAGGGCTAGCACAATTTATCCAGAATACACAAGGGAATTCCTATAAGTGAAAAAATCTAAACAGCTCAGCTCAATGTAGTGTGTGTGTGTGTGTGTGTGTGTGAATATGAATGAGAGATATAAACAGACATTTCACAAAACAGAAATCCAAATGGCCAAGAAATATAAAAGCTATTCAACTTCATCATTAAAGATAAGATGTAAAAAACTATAACTGGGCAAAAATACATTAATAAAACTGTACAAAGAATTTGAATAGAATGTCTAAAATATATCTATCGTACACAAATAGCCAGTAAGCGCATAAAAAGGATACTCAACACCATCAGGGAGATGGGAGCTATCACCATAGTAAGCGATCACATCAGAGCAAACGGGATGACTTCAATGTAGGACAGACCCTAGGGAGCGCTGACAAAGATGAGGAAAAAACAGTGGCAATGTCAAATGGTGCAGCCACGCAGAAAACTGTTCAAAATGTTGACTCTCGTTACCATGACCCACAATGGCACCCATAACCACACATGCGGGAGAAAAGGAAGCACACGTCCCACAAAGGCAAGGCCACAAAAGCTCACAGCAGCGGTTAGCTGTTTTGAGGAAAGGGAAAGTAACTTAATGTCCCCCAGCTGAGGCGTGAATGACTGAAATGTGGTAACTCCATACAGTGCAATAATGATCGGTAATCAAAAAGAATGAAGTGCTGACACAGAGCATGCTACAACACAGATGAACTCTGGAAACGTATCCTGAAAGAAAGCAGTCAGATACAAAGGACTAAACTCTGACTCCATTCGTATGAAATGTTCGTGACGGGCAAATCCACAGTGGTAGAAAGTGAATTAAAAGCCAAAAACTCACCGCCATTGAGTGAATCCTGACTCATAATGACCCCAGTAAAACAAGGCAGAACTGTCCCTGTGGGTTTCCGAAACTGTAAATCCTTAAGGGAGTGGAAAGCCTCATCTTTCTCCCTCAGAGCAGTTGGTGGTTTGAACTGCCGACCCTGTGGTTCGCAGCCCTATGCTGAAGCACACCAGCACCTAGGCTCCTAGAAAGTGAATTAGTGATTAGCTGAATGTGGAGTGGCAGACGGGGATGTGGAGAGGGGAGGACATGGGGCTGAGTTTCTTTCTGAGATGAGGAAAACGTTCCAAAATTAAACTACGGTGATGGTTACAAAATTCTGTGAATATACTAAAATCCACCCAACTGTACTCCCTATTTGGGCAAATTATATGGTATGTGAATAACAACTCCACAAAACTGTGATGTCACACACAGCACATGCACGCACACACACAAGGACCGAAGTTCATATCCACCAACCTGACCCACAATGCCAAAATAAAGGCCGGCAGTGTGAGGGGTGATATGAGGCTGCTGCACACACACCTTGGGGGCCACACCTGATCTGCTCAGGCTCCCCAGGCTGACTCCACAGTCAGGTACCAGTACCCCTCCTCCCATGGCAAACTCTACACCCCGCTGTGTTTGACCTTCAATGCAGTGACCACACAGAACTCAGGGTGATGGGGTTTATTTGGAAAGGCAACAGGTTATAATTCTGAGGACACAGTTGTTTGGTCAAGAAAACTGTGTCCCCAGGCAGGCCTCTCTCTGGCCCTCAGCCTGTTAGCATGGCCGCTGCCCTGCTCAGGCAATGCTACAAAGCTCTTAGGGCTGCCCATCAATGCCCTAAAGAGCTTTGTTCTGGAAAAGGGCATTGTGCTTGGTAAAGTAGAAGTGCAGCCATGGTGAGATGGGATGACATGTGCTTCGAACATAACTGTGAGGCTGGCACACCACCAGGCGGTGACTGCCCCTAACGACAACACACATGTGCCAGGGGCACACCCGCCACTCTACTGTAAGCCACAACCCAAGACACTCGGCTCCACCCCCTGGGTCTGAAAACCCAGCTCCTCTCATGAAGCGCCCAGGCACCACACCCACCCGCAGCCTCCTGCCTGAAGCACTCAGCCTGACCGGGTCTGTGGGCTGGGAAGTCCACTGCTGTGTCTCCCGGTTCTGCTGCAGCACCTGTCTCTCCTCTGGGGTCACTGCCATCTCTGGGATCGAGGCAATTCAATGAGCAGGGACCTCGGGGTCCAAAGGACATGCTGCATGCGTAGCTGAGCACCGCCCCCACCCCTACTTCTTCATACCCCGCAGGACACAACCACTGCCAGCTGAATGAACTGTGTAACACCATCAGTGTCTCCCCCACCTCCCTACACAGGAAAAGTCATTTGAGGGGAGGAACAAACACGTCCATGGCTAGAAAGGCCATAAAGTACTCACGGCCACGCAGCTGCCAACCATAAGGGAGAGGTTCGAACTCACCCACTCTCAAGAAAAAGAGGCGGCTCCTGTAAAGATTAAGTCTCAGAAACCCAGCGAGGGCACAGTAGGACACTGTCCTGTAGGGTCGTCTGTGTCAGAATGAACTTGATGGTCGTGAGGTTTTGGTTTCTGGTACTCTCCCGTCCAAACCCTGAAGAAAGGGCTTCAGTGTTCAACGCTGTGAAAACAACCTTCTCCTCCAAGCACAGGACAGAGCACCAACCTCTAGACATCTGGAGTCTGAAGACTCACTATCCTCCCGGCCTCCGTCCCTGACTCTGCCAATCTGGCTTCAAGGGGCAGCCCCAACCAGCCCCACCCAGTTCTGACTGTTCTGCTTCTGGTAAAACCAAAAGGAACCAACCAGGACCCTCACTGTCACTCTGTATTCAGGAAAGGCCCTTGCAAGAGCTGCCCCCTCCCAGCCTCCCTTTCTCCCCTCTCCATGTGCCACTGTCCTACCTTCACCTCCTTCCCACCCCACTGAGAAGACAGGAGAGAAGGCGTCCACAGCTTCCTGCGTCCACGCACTGCCCCACTCGCCGCTGTCCAGTCCCTGCTCCAGCACAGGTCCCCACTAGGCCATCCCTCTGCACCCTCCCCTCAGGCTCTGCCTTCGCTGCCTGATGCCTCTCCTCCCCAGAGCACTGGTCTGTGGCCTCACGGCAGGACAGCACACTGCACCTCCCCACCTCCTCCTGCGGCTGCTGCTCAATCTTGATATCATCTCCTCACTGAAGACTCACCAAGTCCCATCTTCAGCCCAAGCCTCGGCCCTGAACTCCAAATACCTGTCCTTTTCTACCTCCTTCCATAGAGTAAACCTTCCAAAGTGTCCATCCTGAGTCTTCTCCCTGAGCAACCCTTGGCACCGTCCTTCCACCTTCTCCAACAGCACCCACATGTTGTCTATCAACAACCCCTGCTGGCTCTGCCTTCACCAAGGGCCAAAATCCACCCCTCACTCCTACCCTTGCCTCACTCTCAGCTTCCTCCTTCAGCAGCCCAGGGCAGGTAGTCATGAAAACATCACCCAGATCAAATAAGACTGAAATCTCCTCAAATGTTGTTTCCTATGCTGGCTATGCTCCTTATATGAGCAAGTGCATTGTTTATGTAAGCTACATATATATGGGGAAAATACAATATGGCCTATCTCTGCTCAAACCACTCCTATGGTTTGCCTCCTGAATGGTGGCCTGTGTGACCTGCCTGAGCCTGAGCTTCCAACCCCTCAGGACCCCCAAGATATGCTGACCACACCACCTTCTTCCTGCCTACAATGCTACCACCCTCCCCACCTCCTCCTACTTAAAGGTCCCCTTCTCAGGGGTCCCCCACATAATCTCTATCTGTAAGCAGCACGACCACCACCACCACCCGCTTTGTCCCCTGCGTCACCTCCTCTCCCTGTTCTAGGTCTAGAGGAGGACGGGGCCTTATGTTGCCCTGCTCACAGCCGCGTCCCCCATCGAAAGGTAAGCTTCACATAGGCAGCAGGCCGTGCCTGCTGTGCATGCCACTCACACGGTCAAAACCACGCAGCCTCAACAGATATTGTACCAGGATGAACCCTCAGTGGCAGCCTGTAACCCCAGCAGGAAGTGACACCGGCCAGGCAGTGCTTGCCTTGGGGGCAGCCACATCCTATTTCTAAGCTGGATAGTGGGTACATGGTGTTGGTTCTCAGGTTTCACAACGTCTGTACACACGCACCTTCAATATGCGAGCTCATTAAAAATTACGATAAAAACAACCAGAGACAGTGTTGGCCAACTGTGCCCAGAGCCTAAATCCCGTCCTGTGCCTTTCTGAAAGGGTTGCTGTAGTGGAAGGTGGTCTTCATTTCTGGGCATTTGGCAGCCAGAGAGAGTAGCTGCAGAGACTGGTTTCCCCCTTTGGAAGGACCCACTCCAAACAAACAAATTCGCGGCCACGGAGTCAATGCCGACTCACAGCAACGCTTTGACTATGACTGCTTACAGGAGCACAAAGATGGTCTTGCTCTCAAGGGGCGGCTGGTGGTTTCCAACTGCTGACCTCCTTGGAGTGAGCAGCCCAACTTGTAACCACACCCCCAGGCGCCTGCAAAAAAGCAGATCACTGTACATCACTCTGGGTTATGGGCTACAGTACAAAAGGGTCCTAATTGCCATGTGGATGCTCAGTAATTTTTGTCTGGAAAGGGGGTGGTAAGCCAAGTCTCTTTGAGAACCTGGGCTGTAAAGCCCACAAAGACAAAAATACCTACTAACTGATCCTTGACAGAAAAAAGTTTGCAGACGCTCAAAGAGTTGGAAATTAAGAGCAAGCTCACACCCACTTCTCACTTGTAGGCCTAGTTAGGTTCCAGGCCACCAGGTGGAAATCACACACAACTGGAGATGACCACAGTATCACTGCCCTACCACCTAACTGCCAGCCCAGAGAGCCAGGGCCCAGCCAGATGACCCATCGCCTCCCGCCACCCCCGGCCAGCGTAAATCACTCGCATCTCACCGCTCAATGGTGACCCTCGTGTTCATCACTGCCAGATGAGTGTCATTAATACACAGAAACGTCCAAACAAGACACTCGTGGTAAGTGAGTAGGCTTACAACACATTAGCATTTCGAGGCATATGTGATTAAAAAAAATAAGATTCTCCCTCGCATAGGAGATTCCAGGGCAAAGGGAGCCACCCTTGTCAGGTCCCGAGTGGCAACAGAAAGGCGGTTTCAAGAGGAATGTTGTAGAACACAGGCTGGCGAGTGGTAGTTATGCGTTGGGCAGTTCGAGACCACCACCCGCTCGCTCCTCGGGAGAAAGAGGAAGCCATCTCCTCTGTTCAGGGTTACAGTCCGACCCTGTTCCAAAGGGTCCCTATGGATCAGAACCACCTCGATGGCAGTGAGTTTGGTTTAGTTTTGTGAACACAGACTGGAAAACCTGACAGTTACAACCTCCTCTCCAGCCAAAGGAAGACCTTACTACACAGACTTTAAGCACAGGGAACAAGCCAACGTGGGGGAGGGAGGCACGACTAAAGAAAACACTTACTTGCATAACCACTCCTGCCCATGCCACCACCCCACGCTAGGCCAGCCCAGCAGTCAGACCTCAAAGCTCCTCTGTGACCCTCTCCCTCAAGGGCCCCAGCAGTTGCGTAATTTCTGTGCCTAGTTCTATCGTTGTCAGGGAGAAAAACAGTCAAGTTAGTAATATTAATACAAAGCCACTCTGGGCTGGGCCCCGAGCTCTCAGGTCACACTAATAGTCACTTCACAGATGAGGAGACCAAGAGACAGAAATGTTAACCAGCATCAGGACCGCGCAGCTGGAGGGCTGGAGGCGGTGGTGCTCACGCCCAGCTCTTCAAACCTGTCCAGGCTTACCCTCCACAACATGCCTGAATGGAGACCAAACACTACCTGGGAACACACCCTGGGCAGCAAACTGCCATGCCCATGGTAGGTGCCAAACCCTAACTGCTGACTCTATCCAGGGTGTGATAAAGCAAGGAGGAGAACCCTGCAAAGAAAAGGGGTTTTATTGGAAGAGTATAGCTTAATCCAGAAGGAGGAAGGAGTCTCACATCACAGGAGAAGCAGGTGAGACCTGCCCATATCCAGAAACGATACCCCCACTTTTCTACTTCCTCCACGAGGAGCAGAAGGCTCACATGAACTGCCACCAAAAGGAGACACACTTGGAAGAGGTTCAAGCCTCTCCCACAAGTAACACACGCACACATACATACAGTGCACACAGGACACGGAGCACAGGAACAAGTTAACATGTCAATTTGCATAAAAATATGCTATTTATTCTTCGTGTTCAGTGAGCTCCAACTGTGATGTCACTCTTAAATGACACTTGAAATAGTGGCCTAGTGGGACCACCACAACCCAAGGAACCCGAAGAACTAAGATATCCCCACTGCCCCTGGGTCCATTCTCCAGCAGGCCCTAAAATTCCCTCCAGACTCCAGTCAGTTCTAAGGCCGTCCCTAGCTCCAAAGTGTCGTTAATCACGAGAGACGCCCCAAAGAGCCAATCGAGTCAATACTCCCAACTCACTGCCATCAAGTCCATGTAGAACCTGCCCCTGGAGGTTTCTGAGATGGTCACCCTGTACGAGTCGAAAGCCGCATCATTGTCCCTCAGAGCAGCTGGTGGTTTCAAACTGCGGCTCGTCCAGTCAGCATCCCAGCACATAACCAGTCTGCTTCTCCCGCCACTGTCCCTGTCTCAGGCCTGAAAGCCCTACAGATTTGACCGAAGTCCAGCAAACAGCCACTACGTGTCCACCCTGTGGAACCCTGGGGCTGACTTGTTCCTTCCTCCTCTTCCCAGAGAGGGGCATCCGTGTTCTACTCCAGGTCTCCATCCAAGTGTTAGAAATACAACCGGACAGCTCCTTAGAAGTGAAGAGAGCAAGACTTCATCAGTTCGCTGACTTTAGGCCAATCTGGGGGAAGGACACCACGTGGGGCAAAATAGCAGGTCTGTAGAAAATGAGAAGCTGGACTGATGGCACAGCCACCACAAGGGAGGCAACCATACCAATGATCAGAAGATGGCCCAGGGCAGGCAACATTCACCATGAGTCAGCACCGACTAACAAGAACAGGAACCCAAGGTTCTAACTCGCAGTGCCCACAGCTTGCCCCAAGTCTGACTCAGCATCCAGATGCCACCTCCCATCTCTACAGCCTTTTCAGTTCTGCTCAATGCTCTTAATCATCTCGCACTGATCTCCCCCTAGGCCACCAGAGGCCATGGAAGCCAACCCAGAGGCACACAAAGCAACCAAATCAATGTGGCATTCCTGCTGCAAGTCTACTCATGACACAGGATGGCGTCAGAAGCTGTCATCTTTAGGAGTAGCTGATGGGTTTGAACCACCAACTTTGCAGTTAGCCATCCAATGCTTACTCCACACCATAGTAATAGCATAGTTTCCCCCAAAGTGGTGAGGTCCAAAGCCAGCACCTCCTTTGTCATCAACAGCAGACGGTAAGAACCTACCACACTGTAAATAAAAGGACAAGCTCATAGGCAACCAAGTGGTCTTCAACACTGGCTAAACCAGTCAACACTCGCCAACTGTAAATGACAAGCAGTGTCTCAAGAGTGAGGCCTGCACCCACTAAGCCTGGGACAGAATACCCAACTGGGGCAAAAAAGGCTCTCTCTCTCTCTCCCTTTTATTGTTTCTGTCCAAGACCAGACATCCATCAACGTAATCTTCCAACCCCCGAAATAAACTGATAGCAGTCATTCTTCTAGGGAAGAAAAGCAGGGAGGGGCTTCCACAGCAATGAAGCGTCCACCGATGTCAAACAGCCAAAGATACCAAATCTCCAGCCACCAGGACCCAGGCTGCAGCAGGAAGACCTGGCTCTAAGTGCCATCTACTTCCTGATGTCAAGGGTTTCTAGAAGCGGACTCGGGTGTGTGATGGATCTGGGATCCACAAGTCAGTGCTAAAGTCTGATCAACTGACAACCGTGAGCAATGGAGCATAACCTGGTACAAATCGATCCTGTGTGTCACTACACAACGGTGGCTGTGCCTTTGACAAGTCAACTCAGAGGCAAGTCAAAGCAACCACTTAGTAGCGACTGACAACTTACCCACCCAAGCCCTACACATAGCCCTACACACTCAAAAAACAAACCAGCAGATGTGACTCTGCTCCGAGGCCCACAGGAAGTCACAGACTACCTGCGAGTCTTGACTCTCACAAGCTTTGCTCTCGGGTCTCCTGGGCCAGCCTGCAGCTCTCTAGCAACTGCTTACTACTCCCCAGACCGGGAGTCCCTAGGCCTGCGCATGGTGGAATACCGACGATAGTTCCTGGCAGGGTCAGGGCTCAATCAATATGTGTGCTGATCAAATAAATGAAGATTAGAACATGTTTCTACCAGGAAGGTCGGGTTCCCTTCTTAACACAGCCAGACAGTCTCACTCGGACAGAAGTGCTTCTGTGGCCTCCTGCCTTCTCTAGGTCCAGATACTGACAGCCACCTGTGGAGACACATCCAGGTTTTGTACTTTTGTCCTTGCAGTCGCCCAGACCACCCGGGTGTTAAGTGTGTGCGAGGTGGAGGCCTGTCCCAACTCACCTGAGGAGGAAGAGCACCCACCCAGTGCACTGAGTCTGTGAAATCACACGTCCCTGGCACAAAGCACCCAGACCCGGACGACAAGGCGGTGGTGCTCATAGTCGGCATGCTTGGCCAGCTGGCCATCGGACCCACCCAGAGGGATCAGGGGATAAAGTGAGGCAACTACTTTTGGGAAAAACCAACCGTCAAGAACCCTAAGAAACACAGCCAGCCAAAAAAATTTTTTTAATTTTAAAAATGAACAAAAAAGGAAACACAGCCCTAATGCCACCCAGCCAGGTGCCTAGGAGCTGGAATCAAGAGAACACCTGTTTGTGTTTGTGAGCATCTTGAAGTCGCTCCAAACATGCCTTTATTGAGATCCAATTGAAAAGGAGGAAAGTGGCATGAGGAGAGATACACGCCCGGGAGCCCCACATACACTCAAATATGAGCCGACCTGGGTATCAGCCGAGGCATCTAGTTTTACCACAAAAACCGCACTGAAACTCGGCTCATACATGAGTATGTGCGGTCATTAATTGCACAGGAGGAGGGTCCCTACCACCAGATGGTCCTTAAGTTTCTGCCAAGTGGGAAAAAGTTACCAAGCTATTGCTTCTTTCATAGTTCCATCTCCAGGGACCTGGGAAATCGGGGGTGCCCACCACCTCCTGTCCCCACCACTAGTCACCAGACACCAGAAGGAGCCCCTTACTGGTGAGAAGCCCCACAGCTGAGAGCTCTGGAAAACACCTTCTCAGTCCCACAGCAAGCTTCCAGAGATGGGTCCCCGCACCCAACAACGCCCAAGCCAGCCAGTCTAGCAGCGACGAGGTGGCAGTGGGGTGATGTTCTGGGCAGTGGAGGACAGATGGCGAGCAGGGCCCCTGCACACACACCCTCCAGCGTCAGCAGCACTAGACAAGCAAAATGTCCATTGTTTGAGGGCCATCTCC